GTTGTAGGTCTTCATAGAAGCGGTCAACTTCAGCTTCTTCGGCATCAGTGGTTGGGGCATAGACTTGGATGACTGTGATATTGAACGGTTTGCTTTGGTTGCGCACTGAGATCATTCTGTCGTTTTTGAGGTTGTACCCCATTACTGCCTTTCCCACTCTCTTATTGACTATGAATAAAACAAATAGCAACTCTATTACAGCACATTCTGTTAAATAAAGTCCATGCTGGGAGGTATATTGCATATATCCTCTTCTAAGAGACTTACAATACAGAGGAATTACTTTGAATGAATTTCAAGGGTAGAATTTTCAGGCTACATATTGTCAAACACTCTGTGTCATGGTGGGACTTGATTCCCCTTACAGTATGTACTGCATATTCATGCTGTTCCTGAAGGTCAGCCAATCACAGATGTCCCATCTTAATCATTGACACCAGTGATTGGCTAACTCTCAGGAATAGAATGCTTTCTACTAAACAGGCATGGGCAAGATGTGGCTCTCTAAATTTTGTTGGATTGTACATGTCACTACCCTTCACCATAGGTTATGCTGATTAAGTCGATGGATACTGGTGTTCAATAATATCTTGAGAGCCACACACACCTACAAAACTATACTGTAATTATGTACAAGTTATATAAACAAAACATTGGGATATTACATAATTTTATGGGAATAACACTAGAATCAGTTTTCTTGCACATCCTGTCATCTTGCTCTTAATGTTTTGAATCCTTTTCAGATGAATCTTTCTATCAGAGTTTCCCTGAGATTCCAGTGGAAGAAACACCTGAAAATGATGGAGAGCCAAGCACTTTGTCACTCAGTATCTGTGAACGGTCTTCTCCAGCAACATCAGGTGAAGCCTTCACACCAAAGGAGGGATCTCCTTACAAAGTTCCAATATATATTCCTGATGACATCCCAATTCCATCAGAGTTTGAGCTTCGAGAATCAAATATTCCTGGAGCCGGATTAGGGATATGGACAAAAAGGAAGATTGAAGTAGGTGAAAGATTTGGACCATATGTAGGAGAACATCAACGAAGTCTTAAAAACACCAATAATGGATGGGAGGTAGGAAAATATCTGTCATTATATTTTATTGTCAGTTTACTATCTGTTAGTAATACTCTTTTTATTTTACTATTTCTCTCCTGCCTGTCTTCTCAGAGGGAACTCTGTTTACTTTGAATAAAAATAGAATTCTTTACTGATAAATACAACTTTTTGAAGGAAAAAAAAACCCCTTCCATCCTGGGTTACAGACTCAAATATCTCTGCTAGTCAGAGTACAAGGAAGAGTGATCATTACATAATTTACTTTGACAGTTTGGTGTTCTGTTTTGTTTTTTAAACTGATGTCTGTTGGTGATGTTTTGAATTTTTCACATTAAAAGAATGAAACTGAGTTGTTATTTGAATACTTTAACTAACAGCATGAAGATTTTTATTTTTTGTAAAATGCATGGTCATTTGCAGAATGCGGTCAACTAAATATTTTAAAAAGCATTTCTCCAAACAGTGAAAGTGATGGGGATTCTCCAAGAATTAAAAAGTAAGCTTTTCCGTAGCTCTCAATAGAAGATACATAGATTCCTTTATTTTCAGGAATTATTCAGAATCTCTTAGCATGATAGCATAGCCAATACCGCTATATTGGATTTGCTAGGTGCTTGTGATCTCTTCTAGCAAGCCTGTCCATAGTATTTGTGGGAGAAAAAGCCATCCATTAAAATGACATCCCTGCATGTCCTTCTGCAAAGTTAAAGTTTAGTAATCCTTCCTTCCTGGTCCAATGGCTTGTCAAGCCACAACAGCATACCCTGGGTTGATTCATCTTTTCTCCATATCATGAATTGGCTCCAGCTGCCATCATGGTGGGCCTTCAAATGTAGCAACCAGGCTTAGCTTTGCCTGTTGACCATATCAGACTATTTATTTTCTTTTTATCCTGAATAACATTTGCTTCACAAAAGCTCTCTTAAAGCACCCAGAACAGTGGGATGGTCAACCAAGGAAGGAAGGAAGGAAGGAAGGAAGGAAGGAATTCTTTCTGTCTTTTTCTATATCTAACTGTTGCCATGGATAAAACAGTGAAGCCTCTTGTTCATCCACTGGAAATTTCAGGGCCATCCCTTCATTTCTCTGAGTCACTTTCTCTTTAGAGTTGTACAAGAGAGAGAGAAAAACATGCTTATGCTTCTCTCCACCACCACCTCTTTTGTATTTGCAGAAAAGCCACAAGGTGGCTCTTTATCACTTTATTTTTTGTGCTTTGTTGAGAGCCAGGAAGGTCATGGCTTCTCAAGCACATCACCCCTTAGTTCACAAGCAGTGTTTCATATGAACTGGTTGATTTCCTGGAGGCAAAGCATAAGGCTGATGAGGCAAACAATATGAACCTCTGAGGTAAAAATGGGATACTGAAAATGATTGAGATCTCTGCTCAACACATACAAACTGTATAGTCATATTTGCAAGGCAGATTGCGGTAGGATCTGGAGCTTGTAGGAAAATGAACCTTGTTTAGCAAGTGATAAACGAAGAGTAATAAATTGAGTATTGATTACTTGAAGGATTCTTCTTAAAACTGGTATGTAATGAAAATAAAATGGAACTGCTTTGTGAGGCAGACGATAGAAGTTTTAAAAGCTGCCGGGCTGAAAATTATGAGCCACTATGCAAACGTTTTTGTACAGCCCAATGTCCTATCTACATAATAACCCAGTCATGACTATGGATGGATTTGACCAATATATATTTGCAAGATCAAAGCAATGGTTTCTGTTTCTATGCTTCAGCTATTTAAGATGGCTTGTGGGTTAAAATAAGAAGTTGTGACGTACTTACACTCAGGTCATAATTAGAGTGCTGTAGAGGAACTTGAATGAAAAGCTATAAATCTGAATTTTATCTTAGTTCATGGGTCCAAAGCCAAGCATCATCTAATCAGGTATTGGTTGACTAAAGCACAAATCGAACAAAAGGTTACTGGACAAAGTCAGAGGTCAAGCTTTTTTGCAGTTTGTCATTATGGTTTAGTATTTGCCAGAAGGCCAAATGTCCACTGAAACAAGAATGAGAAAAAGAGAGCTGTCTGCTTCTTAATCAACAAGGAAATCAGATTGTAAACAAATACCGGCTATTTTTTCAAAATGAAAACAGCTAATTGTTCATAAATAAAATTTCACTTCAGGACTCCCTGCCATGGGAGGAACCACCATTTGGGAAATGCAAAAACTGGCAGATATTCTCCTAATAGACATATAATTTGCCTACATTTGTTCACACATGCAGGTACACACAGACATAGGCATCTGTGCAGGTTGTTCAACATTTCGGTTTCTCCGTTCTGTGGTTTCTAAGATTTAAGAGTCAGGTTCGTGGAGACCTAGTTATCTCTAGTGGTTTAGGATTAACATGAGCCTGTGACTGCTCGGGCTGGAAATCAGGAAAGTGAAAACAGAAGGAATTTAACATGAAAAAAACATGAAGCCAAAAGTGCACTGTATTTTGTTCTAGTAAAAGTGAAATATGCTATAACAGCGATAATTGCACTTAATTATTTAATTAAAGGATATGAATAAAATTTAACAACTTGCCCCAAGCTTTTAAGGTAGATAGACAGCATTTCTACTAGAACAAGTGTTTATCTTGTTAATCTGTCTAAAGGCATGCTCAGAAAAGAATACAATTTGTATTCTGTCAATTTGCTAATCCAGGGATAGTCAACTGGCACCCAACGTGATCAGTATTTCAGATAGGAATAGGGAGGCAGACAGATAATGCAGTATTCTCAGTGCAGAAACAACATTCTTATTTGTTCTTTGGCCAAGGCCACAGAGAAGTTAAGCAAAGCTGGATTGACTGCTAGGAGGCTGTATCTATGTGACAATCCAGTAAGAAGTGCTATAGTTAACGTGGGGAAGTTTTGAAGTGACTCCTGCCATTGATGTGCACAAATGAATCGCTCTCTCCTCACCCACTCTAAGCCAAGGATCAGAAACCAAGTAGAATATTTACGGGTATCTGAATATTTCAGATATTCTTTAAAAAATCTGACTCAGATATACTATAAGGTAGAACCCTAACCCTTGACTAATATCAATGATATTGCATCAGATATCATCAAAGCATAACATTGTAACTTGTCACTAAGTGTACTCTCAACAGGGAAGTGCAGCCAAGCATGGATCCCAGATGGCTGCCCTTGTATCATATATGTATTTTACAAATGGCATTTTGTAACCAAACACCTATTTAGTAGAAATCTCTCCATTCCCTTGATTTTGGGATAATGGTATACCGGTATCATATATGTTTCTGAATATGTATTTGACCCATTAACATATCACATGTTTATTCTATGTATTCAACATCTAAAGTATTGTGCTTATTTATAATTGCTATTGAAGTATGATTCAGAAACCGAACAAGTCAAAGATTGTGTGATTAAATGGACAGAGAATCTAGACAGGAGGATTGTTATGGAACAATGGGAATACCAATGGAAGATAAATATTAAATTTATAGCAAATACTGCACTCAGAGAAAATTGATACAATTTTTTAATACTGGTATATTATACCATGATTGATTGGCAAAATAGATAATTCATATTTTTAAAAAACTGCTGGAAATGCAATAATCAGGATGGATTTTTTTTCTTTTAATATGTGGTGACAATTTTATAAAGCTCAACAATTCTGGAAGATGATTCATCATAAAATGAATACATTTTAAATATTGACTTCCTTCCTGCTGTTTTTCTGTTGTGCATTACTAAGCCTGATATTCCCATCAAGTATACAGGTTTTGCTCTATATATGATAACTGCTGCTAGGATTTCTTATGCCTTTTACTGAAAAATATACATAGTTCCTTTTTTAGAGGAAGGGCAAACAAAGCTATGGGAATATGCATCAATGCAAAAATAACTTCACATTTGAAAAACAAGTCTGATACTGAATTTATTTTAACCTGGGGATTATTTATGGACTATATTTCTGCACATGGATTTATACCACATCTAGGTTTTGGGTTTCTCTTACATAGTATTTTAAAATATTACATCTTGCCTGATTTGTGATAATCAGGACAGACTTTCTCAGATTAAGTAGCAACTCTTATTAATTGTATATTCTGGGTATAATTTTTACCATGTTGTCTGCCTTTGCTAATTATTGAATATTGATTTGATTTTAATAATGATTTTAAAATGCTAAATTGATATGAACTCATTTTTATATGCAGTACTAATCTAATGCTACTTTCAACATACTTATTTAATTTCATATAACTGGTAAATCTCTTTTCTCTTTCTTTTATTACTCTTTTTTTTCTGGGCTGTGCTTTCAAATACTTGTTAAAATAAAAAAATAAATAAAAATCATGTATGAGGTGGTAACTGAATCTATAAAAATACAGGAGAGGATAGTAATTCCAAGAGTAGTTCATGCCTATAGTGGGATGATCAGAGAAAACTGACTTTCTGTCACTTAAGTAAATGTGAAAATAGAATTAGAATTACTATAGCATTTGGTATAGGTGTAAATAATATATTTAATTTAATTTTCCAGACTAGGGCAAAACACCAAGCCCTTCTCACAGTCAACCCTCAAATTATAAATTGTAGTGAGGTGTAAACAGCAGAAGCAAAACACAAGTTATATGAATGTGATGTATAAATCAAATAAATAAATAAATAAATAAATAAATAAACAAATAAATAAATAAATAAATAAATAAAATGTATATACACATCCAAAGGGTAATTGAAACCCCCTGGGTCATACTGACATATTGAACTATATTTCCTGACATATGATTTAGATCTTTTATTTTTCAGTGAAAGAGTTGGACTAAATATTTTGTCTCTGATTATGCAGATCACAGGAAATATGGTAATCCTGATGGGATGAGAGGGACAACTTGTTTATTGTCCTTCTAGCAAATCAAGCTCCCAAACATTCTTCCTTTCTCAGTACTTAAATGCTGGTTTGGGCAGGGCCTGGCAAAAATACAGAATTGGTGGAAAAGCTTCTTCATTGCCTTTGGAGAATTATGGAGGGAAG